GAATCAAATAATGAGTCCATTCGATTTGTGAAAATATTCAAAACAGGGTATCAAGACCATGTTTTGGATAAAGAAACACCTGTTAAGTGAACATTGAATATTTAAATCGAAAATTATCCCTAATCGAGGTCATCTAACTGATGGACGATTGATGACCACCAGAGATTAGTGTGTAATATGATTTACATCACCGTTTCTTGTGCTGCAAGGAGATGATGGTCATAAATCATTTGCACAGGTGCCAGTTTGGAATTGCACTGGATCGACCTATGAGAGTACTTTAAAAGATTCAAAATTGTCATAAGTACATTTCTCATTATAGCTATCGGAACCTTTATCCTCGACCATGAGTATTGCAAGTTCTCTTGTTTGAGTACTAGTCGTTTTGATGTTGTCAAACGTCTGCCGTAACTGGGGATTATAACGACAACACTCAGGCGGCTAGGTCCTCTTAGTAAGGGAAGCTTACAATACAAGACTGGGAATGTCCCCCTATTAACAATAGGGAATGTGTCTTTGTTGTTTAAAAGGCCGCTCGAAGAGCGAGACTGTGAAAATGCATGGCCGTGCTCAGATAGATTTTAGAAATCATCTGCTTATTGACAGTCGAACTCAGAGATCGAGAAACACTTCTGAACGTAATAAGGATGACAATGAATCTTACCTTATAGTTCACGAAGAGACATTAAGCGACATAGGAAATGGGCTATACACTGTATGCATACTTGTCCAGAAGGACAAGTGGGAGATTGAAAGGAATGGTGTCCTTCCAACAAGTGTATTATTCCGATAGAGGGTTCAGAATTATCGGAAAGCTAATTCTTCAGTAAGGTCAAGTGATCGGAATGTCTAGGTGGAGGCCGCTTCCGATCAGTAATATTAATGTACAATTAATATTACAGCTTAATCTTGACTGAACCCTTCGGGTCGAACCTAATCGAACAACCGATTCGAGACGACGAATCAATCCGAAGGATTTTTTATGAGTCGTCGGAGTTTTACGAACAAAGACGTCGGATATCGAGCTTAGAGCGTCGAGATCGAGCGTCGTAAGTCGAGTCAAATTTAGAATTCGACGAGACGTGAAATCAAGCAAATGACAAGTACAAGCCAAGCCGTAGCATCGCATTGATCAAACCATTCGAGTGCTAGGCTAGGCAAGCACCCATCGCAAGCCTAGTATGCTAGGCATGCTAGGCTCATGATGCTCGCTAGACATGGCAGCCCCACACCACCGCATAGCAGCATGCTATGCTGTGCATCGTGCTGGGCGCTAGCAGCCTAGCTAGAATGTTGGGCGCCAGCAGCCTAGCTAGCACGCTAGGCGCTAGCAGCCTTGCTATCATGCTAGACGCTGGCAGCAGCAGCATGACCATGGCATCCTAGTGTTTCGCAGCATCGCAGGCAACACACGCACTAGCCAATAGCGTGCTAGGCATGCTGGGTTGTGCGTGTGTGTGCGTGTGCCTCGCATAGCAGCGCCCAGCGCCACGCACCAATCAGCAGCATCATGCCAGGCATCGCCCTGTGCATGTGCGTGTGCAAGTGCTAGTGCATGCTAACTATGAGAGAGGGCAGTGCATGCTGGCCAGCAAGCAGCAACAGCGTAGGGAGCCTCGCCCAGCAGCCCAGCAGCATGTGTGGCTTGCTAACAGCACGCATGTGTTGGCTGGTGCGCATTGCGTGTTGGGGCAGTGATGCTGTGCTTGCTAGTCATGGCAGCTGGTGCATGCTAGCGTGATAGCTGGCTGCCAGCTGTGCGTGGGTGGCCTTGAGGATTCATGCTTGGTCAAGGAGTGGACCAAAGGTGGTTGGGCTTGCTTGGGGAGCAAGGGGAGTTTTAGTCCCCCCCTTTAGTGGTCCTTACCTACCTTTGCTCACATATTGACACTTGTTATTTGTTGATTCAATTGCATTGTAATTTGTTTTTGATTTAAAAATAAATAGGATAAAATGCATTCTCCCACATGGATGGGAGATTGAAGTTCAAGGGTTAAATTCCCTATAAATACCCAAGTTTGGGGTTTGGGAAAAACCACTTGAGTAGAACTCAATGAGGCATCTCCCTTAAGGTGAGAAAACCTCTAAGTTCGTAAAACTCCAGTTTTTATTGGTCGGGTCCCGACTAACCTTCGGGACTTGGATCGTTCGGGTCGGGTTCGTGGGTACGAGCCATTGGAGGCGTTCACACTTGTGACGCTCGAGCTTTTGAAGTAAGAGCTCGATTTGCGAGCGAAGCATGCATCAAAGGTATAATCTTTTATCCTTTCTTATGCCTTAAATTATGTTTTGCTTGTTAATTGCTTTTATTATGGGGGCGGGTCTTGGCGGGTTTCTTTCCGCGTAGTGTGGGTCACTACGAAACCCTACGGCGGTATCGGAGCCGCGCTCCTTTTAATTATTGCAATTATTTATTAATTAAGGTGGTTTTAAGTAAGATTTAATTTATGGTTTTGCTTTTCTAATTAGATTAGAAGCTCGTTTTAATTCATTTTAAAACTCGTATTTTTCTCGATTTGGCTGTCGAACCCAGATTTTTGCTCAAAAATAGTGTTTTTTGGGTGGAATCGACATTCTGGAACAGATTCAATCCTTCTAGGGCTGTCCAGAAGCCAAATTCGAACCAGAAAGCCAAGTTTTTGGGGTTTTTTCGTTTTTAACGAAAGTTTTAAATCTTTTAAGCCTTGATTAATGCAAGCATTTCAAGGGTAGATTAAATGCATTATTGCACTAGCTGTACAACTAGACAACTAGACTCAGTTTTATACCTTACACTGAAGAGGCATGAAAATCTTGTCGTGTGTTGAATGCTAGGTTTATAGATGAAACATTCTTGGTGCAAAAGGACAGTGGTTCAGCCATCTATCAATAAGAGATTTCCACTAGCTGTACAACTAGACTCAGTTTTATGCCTTACACTGAAGAGGCATGAAAATTATAGAATGGAAGGGAGGAGATGAAAGCGGGACTAAAGCAATTACGTCCAGCAATGGTATCTCCATTACATAATTGCACATCAAGGAAAAATAACATGAAATGACAAGTATTAAGAGGATCAAATGTTCTAGGAGAAATACTTAAAAGCATTCTAGATATTAGACAGCTCTAAATGTTGAATTCTGTCAAATCGTTTGTTTACATGTAAAAAGACAGTGTGATGGAATCAGGATCATTGACTATATACCGATGTATGATCCTCAATACCGAGCAGCTTTTGAGCTTTAAGTGCTTTACATTCATAATTCATAATAAAATTACCAGTCATAAAGAGGAATGCATCCTTTCAGTGAAACTTATTTCCGAGCAAGAAAAAAAATTTACATATTACACTAGGTTTGGTATAAAACAAATGATGCCAATAATTATGTACTAAATGGCCTCCTTCATGATCTAGCATATTAGAAGAGCCAGGTTATCTCATTTGTCAAACAATTAGCAAACTTGGATTGAAGATGAATTTGGAAAAGAAGTGGATGATCAATTAGTAAAAATTTGTACTCTAAGAAATCACACAGGACAACCACATTCAGTTTGATTGCCAACCATTTCTTAAAAGAAATATTGTTCATGTCATAAAACAGCGAGGCACTTATTCCATAATATTGTAAGTCTAAAATTCTGACAAACCGAATGTATTTTTAGTTTTTCACACCAACTTTCAATTATGTAACCAGGTGTAATTGGGAACTTATAAGTCCAACTACAAAGCTATCCTTATAAAAACACAAGGTCTGAGTGCAAAATATTGGAAATTCTGTGATTTGAATTGTAATTCTGTTATTTTCAAAATACAATATGCTTAATTACTGCAGCACAATTCAGAGATCACAGAAAGGAAGAATTACTAGGTCCAACCAAATAAAACCTTTCATAGCAAATATTTCAGTAGACTCACTTCTTGGTGAGAAACTAACAAAGGATTCCAGCCAAAAGCAGCAACATATCGCCTTTTCAACACAGTATTTCCAAGAGGGACTCCTGCAAACTCAAGTATGTTAAGAATCATACAGGCTGAAATATATAGACAAAAACAAACCCTAAAAAAAAAAGACGTCTGGAAATTTGTATGGATGATGAGAATATTAACTTGAGTTTATGGAGGAATGAGTAGGTCCATCAATTTCAAGAGCAACATCTGAACCATCATTGATAGCACTTACAAATAGGAGGACCCATATCATTAACCATAACCAAACATTTGACTGAACTAGTTTTTTGTCATAATGTCCATATCAATCAAACCTATTTGCAAACCATCCACCCAAAATGTGTTTAACACAAACTTATTACAATAAATTAAAAGGAAAACTTTCGAGAGTTTTTCTAAAAAAAAAAACTTCCATGATGACAGCCTAAAGCGCAAGCATGTGTAAGATGAAGCACATAACACAACAAAGAACTAACAAAGAAAGACAGTTATTTTCTAAAATCATCATCAGCTTCCAGTAATTGAATGAATTCAAATAATCTCAATCTGAAACTTTATTGTAGAAAGAGTAAGTGAAGCAAAAAAAGCTCAAATGATAACAATTCCAATTATTTTAGATCACTAAATGATAGCAATTCATCATCACCAAAACAAGGTGGTTACAATTGGACAAGTATATAAACTAAGTAAAGAGTTTAAACTAAAATGCTGAAAATGACCGTAAGCTCAAGCAGGCAGCAGGCTTGATTAATTTGAGGTTTTAAACCAGTGAGCAAATGAGGGTGAGTGACATCCACTTGCAAAAAGATAAGCAAACAAATAAGAGAGTAAGAGACATAATAGTGTTATAGTGATTAAAAAAACATTACATTCATTTTTTAAAACATCAAATACAACTTACAAATCTGGCTATGCAGAAGTATCATCCACGTCCTTCTCCTTCTCCACCTCAACCCCATCTTTCTCCAACTCAGAATAACCATATAGCCAATTTCGAGTTGTTATCAAAGCTTCGTCATGTTTGTGAACTCCTCCACCTGTTTAAAACTCTGCCACCCATGCTAAAAGAAGATTAGGAAGCAACAGTAGTAATAGGTATTACAACAATATCTTTAGCTATACGACCAAGACTTGGGAAAGTTGTTGATTTCTCCTTCCAATAGCCCAAAATATCGAATTCCTCATCAACATTACAAGGTTTTAAAGGCAATTCTAAGTATAATTCTAATTCAGATTTACCCATGTCACCACTAGCAACATCAGCAACAAAATTCTGAAATCACAAATAAAAAAGATCAAAACAGAATAACCCAGAAAAGTGATTAACCTATTGAATAATGATAATATTTGTCGTTATCTTACCGCATAAACTCTACTAGTCTTGCGTAGACGATATGCATCTGATTTTGAACTACCTTGGGAAGAATAAGTAGGAAGAGGATCCTTGTAATGCTTAGATAGTTGAACAAATTCATAATACACCTATGTGAGATTCATACAAATCCTTGAAAAGATGTCTCAAAAATTTAAACACAAACCGAGGATCAAGAATTGCAGCAAAAGATAATAGCACAGAGTAATCAGACCAATACTTATCAAACTTGCAACGCATAAGATCTGCCATTTCTTTGAGTTTTGGATCATCCCCTTTAGAAGCAGCCACTAATAGTGACTCAATTCTACAAATGTTGGCAACATAAAGATTGGAGATGGGATATTCAGAACCGGAAAACAAATTAGTAATGTCATAAAAAGGTTCAAGAAAATCACGCATTTTTTCTACTATTTCCCATTCATGAGCAGTAAGCGCCAAGTGATAATTTCTCTCTATCCTACCAAACATTTTCAACGCCGATAAAAGATCAAGAGCTCGAGGAAGCATTAAGAAAGTAGAATTCCATCTAGAAGGAACATCCATCCATAGCTTTACACCTGTAGCTAAATTACAACTAGAAACACACTGCTCAAACCTTATAAGTCTAGCTTCAGAAGAATCAACATACTTCACATTCTCCCAAACTTTCGCAACAGATTCATCAATGAGTTTCAAACCTTCTTTGAAAATTAAGTTTAAGATATGAGCAGAGCATCTAACATGAAAATATTTGCGTCAAGAGGTAATTTAGCCATTAAATCCAATTCAATTTGGAGTTTCCCAACCATAGAATCCATATTACTTGCATTTTCAATAATCATACTACAAATTTTTCTTTCAATACCCCAATCTTTGATCAAACTAAAAACCAGGTTATAAATTTCATGACCATTATGGGGAGGTGGAAAATGCCTAAAGTTCAGCACCTTAGACCGTAATTTCCAGTCATTATCCACAAAATGGGCCATAAGAGACAAATAACCACGAGTGGTACAAGCTGTCCATACATCACAAGTCAAGGACACTTTACTTGATAAGGCCTTAAACGTATTACGAACATATTGCTTTAACACATCATGCTCTGTCATGCACCATTTCAATATTGTGTTTCTAGAAATAGTTCTAACCTTGGAATTCAAATATGTATGCAATTCCCTAAACCCCTCATGTTCAACAATACTTAAAGAATAACCATGCTTCAATATAGCTCTAGCAAATAACTTATTGTATTCTTTTTGGTCAAATTCAGATGCATTAGACTCATTAGACTTATCTGAATCTTTATAATCTTTATATTGTTGGCACCTATCTAGGTGTCTCTTTAGATTAGACGTACGAGTCGTACCATTATGTTTCTGGATTAATCTTTTGCAAAACTTGCATGCAGCATGTTCACCATTAATCTCAAAATTTTGCCAAATAGGAGATCGTTTTCCTTGAATTGGAGATATTGATTGATGGGGTTCAGGTGTTGGTGTAGCATTTCCAACACTCATGCATGTAATTGATGCTTGCTCAACCTCAAAGTCACCCACTACACCAAACAATAAGGCAAAGATTAGGAGTAAGATCAATAAAAATGCATAATTTATAATTAATTAGAATGAACTACACCTCTTTCAACTGCGTAATCAAATTCATCCTCAGCCATGATAGTTTGATCCCTTTAACACCAAAACGTATTAACAGATTAAACCCCTAAAAATTATCAAGAACATCTAAATCTAAATATTTGCCCAAAACGTTTTAATCCCTAAAATTATTTAAAATCAAAGTGCTAAGCATAATATTAAAATGTAAAAATTAACAGATTAAACATATAAATTGTCGAAAAACAATGTTGAACAATTATTAATCAGGAAGAATAAATGTTTAGATCCATAATTTATGAGTAAAATTCGAACCTGAAAATTGGACCGATTACTCACTCCTTGACTCCTTGTTGAAGGTAGAATATGGGAGTGAGAATTTGAGATTGAGAGTGGGATTGTGTGAGTCTGGGAGAGGCCGAGCAGTGGTGAATTATAGCCATGGATGGATCTCTAAATTTTAGTATATTAGGAAAGCTAGACTCTAATGGCGGTAATGGCGAGATTTGCGACTGAGAATTTTAGTATATTAGGAGAGCTAGACTCTAATGAAGGTAGAATATGAGAGTGAGAATTTGAGATTGAGAGTGAATCACTGATTATATGATTTTGAGATTTTTCAATAATGTTCCCCTTATCACTCTTCTTTTTTTATTTTTAATTTATTTTGTTAGCTAATTAAGTCATAAAGTATTAAAGTATTAAATTTTTCTCCAAATAACTAGCAATTTAGGATTACGTCATATCTTTTTTTTCCCCCTAATTATATGAGTTATTTTCCTATTAAGCTTATTCAAATATTTTCAATAAAATTCTCTATTATCAAATGTATTACAATTTATGTCTCAAAAAAACCTATAAAAATTTATGAATATCACTACTTTTTGGATGCATGTGCATTCTTTATTTAAATTTAGTAATTACGATTTACAAATACTACTACTTTTTAGGTGCAAGTTCATTCTATATTTCAATTAAACAATTATGGTTTACGAATACTACTACTTTGTAGGTGCATGTGCATTAATGTAGTCAATTACGGTTTACAAATACTATTTGACCTTAGGCTTGTTTGTTTTATCTTATATTTTATAAAAAAAAAATTAAAAAAAAAATAATTTCAAATAAAAAAAAGTTAAAAAAAATAATAATTTCGGATAATGATTGAATTGAACATGATAATGATTGAATGCGAGCATGAGTATATGACAATGACCCGGTGATAATCTGATAATTTACCTGTACCCGATCATGACTTGACTTGTTTGGACTCGAGAAAGTGGTGACCCGAACTAGAGCTGTTAAAAGGCTTTTATTGGTCTTTTATTTTTCTAATTTTCTTATTCATTTGCCTATTTAATATGATTTAAATGATTTAAATGTTTAACAAAAATGCCATTAAAAAAAACGTGAACTCGGATATGAACTTATAAAAAATAAACAAGTTTAGATAATTTCAAATAAAAATAAGTTGTTTAAATAATTTCAAATAAAATAAGTTTAGAAAAAAATTGTTGTATTTTAACTTATCTAAACTAAACCTATTTTATCCGAATTTATATGAACTTATTGTATTTTATCTAAACATGTCATCTCGAATATGAACTTATTTGAAATTGTTATCCCTAAAATGAGTGGAATCAATGTGAATAGATTAGAATAGGGTTTGAACTTATCTTCTAAAAATCTAAACTAAACCTATCTTATCTAAACTTATTAGAACTTATTACCTCGAATTTAAACTTATCTGAAATTATTTCTCTTACAATAAATGAAGTAATTGATAATGAGTAAACGTGAATTTCATTACATTTACCACACTTATCCGACCCGTTTATCCGAATTGACAGCTCTACTTATACGCTTATTACAACATGCATGTAGTGGCAAGCAGCTGTTTGTCTACGACAATGTTTGCTGTTCATGATACGCCTTTGGTAAAGCAATTGTAATCTCTAGTTTTAATGTTGCCGTTGAACGGAAAAGAAAGTATCCACGTGCCTCATGTCTTTTCTTTTCTTGTATTGATTATTGGCAAATTTTATGTGGTCCCATTGTTGTAATGTGCTGCATATTCTTGCAGGTCCCATGCAATATTATTTGGTGCCACAGATTGTAAAGGAACTGTTGCTGCAGATGTGTTTCAGATTCGGCTATCATAAGATATCCTGCTTCTTATATTAAGGTTTTTTTTCCGGCTTTTTATCTCTTATACAAATGGATTTATGATACATGCATATATTGACATAGTGCCTCTCCTTAAGGACCTCAGATTGTCCTTGCACTGTATTATTAATCATTATTGTTATTGTTATTGTTTGGGTCCAATTTAGTCCAATTGGGCCTAGTCATTAAATGATCCAATTAAAAGCCCAAGGTCAAGGTTCATCTCTCCAATTGTGCTAAAGTCAAAAGATCAGTCCTCAAGGCAAGCCAATTGGGCTAAGGCCCAACTTCTCCATATATGCAAAGGTATAAAAGCCATCAATATTACATTTGTACATTCATTCAAGAAAAGCCTCAAGCAATTAATTCTCTTGCATAGTGTTCTCTTCCTACACACTGTACTAACTTTAGCATCGGAGGGGCCTTCCTCGGAAACACCCCCGAGGCTAGTTTACGTGTGTTTACTGTGCAGGAAATCTCCGGCCCAACATCACTTGAACCGAATCCAGTCTTCTCCACCTCATCGGACCTTCGACAAGGTCCCATTGTTTTCACCCGAAACAATTTGGCGCCGTCTGTGAGGAAAACTTTCAAAAATCTTTAAGCCAAATTTCTAACCAAAAATCATCTTGCAATTATCTTAGTAGCAATGGCTAAGAACCGCAAGAGCAAAGGCCTCCGTCAAGGAGCAGGCGAAAAGCCTAAAACCCCTACACCATCACCCTCACCGGACCGGAACTCTCCCAAGGGTGCCAGCTCGGGGCGAAGATCATACAGGGAGGATTCCCTTTCTCCCGTAATTCATAACTCTCATCATAGGCCGAGTCACTCTCGGTCTAGCAGGGGCCAATCCGATCATAGGACGCATTCAGTGCCCCAAAGCCAACCATCGACCGTCCGCTCTCATTCCCATACTCAGCCGAGGACCCCTTTGACGGGGCCCAGCTCGGAGGAGGTGGCAAGAGCGTTGGCAGTGCTCATGGAGGCAATGAGGGCACAAAATATGTCGCCACCTCGTGATCGAACTCCTCCGCATACCCGGCATCAGCGGAGGAAGCTAGACCATGATGGTGGGAAACTTCCTTCCTTCCGGGAATTGGAAGAGTGGGAAGAGGATACCTGGAAAACTGAAAGAGAGAGGAAAAAGAACCCTCAATTCTTCAAAGGATCCTCAACCTCCCGACCAGAAACGCATAAGAGCAGCAGCTTAGCTTCTCGGCCAGAATCTGCTCACCGAGAACAACATGAGACTGTTCGCCGAAGCGTCCTCGACCGACTCGGCGGCAAGGAACCGAGCGTGCACAGTCGCCTCTCGTTCCCTGCGGCCGAGGCCCAGACTTCCCAGCCAGGGACGAAAACCACTCCTACCTCTCTAAGAGGGCGGAGCGCGGTCCCTTCGGCCAGGAACAAGGGCAAGGCCGTTATGCTACTCGCCAGTTCCCCATTCGAGCAGTGGATACTGGAAGAGCACGTGCCCACAGTTAAAATACCGTCGCACATCACATATGATGGAACTTCGGATCCGAAGGACCACATTGCCTCGTATGAGGCTCATATGCATCTTTGCCCCAGATCTGAAGCGACTTGGTGCAAATATTTCCCAACCACTCTCAAGGGGGTCGCGCAAGCGTGGATCTCCAAGGGAGTAAAGCAAGGCTCTATAACAGGGTGGGATGATCTGTCCTCCAAATTTAGGAGCAAGTTTTCCACGGCAAACCGCCGAGAGAAGACTACTACTGAACTCATGAGTCTGCAACAGGGGGAAACCGAAAGCCTCCGAGACTATCTGACCCGTTTCAGCAACGAGTCATCCAGCGTCTCTCAGCTGGACCAGGGGCTAGCCGTTTTTGCAATGCAGAATGGCCTTCAGCCCGGGAAGTTCCTAGACTTCATGGTCATGCATACCCCGCAGACCTTGGAGGAAGCTCTGAATGCCTCGGATAAGTTTATCCGAGCCGAAGAATGGAACAAAGCGAAAACCCAACCTCAATTCAGGGGAGGGAAACAAAAACAAATACCCTTGTCTGAAGGCCAAGGCCATAAGGCAAAGGGAAAGTCAAAGGCCTCGGAGCATTCTTCGGCCAGCGACCCAAAGAAGGAAAAATCTGCCTCGTACACAGGCAGATACGATTCCTACACTCCGCTCTCTCTTCCACGCGCCAAAATTTACAGCGTGACGAAGGAGGAGCAGAGTTACCGAAAGCCGAGACCACTCCCAGAGTGGTATCAGCGAAAAAATAAAAATCAGTGGTGCGAGTTCCACGAATCTCCGGGACATAACACTGAGGAGTGTATCCAACTGAAGGACCAGATAGAGGACATGGTCCGGAAGGGATACTTGAAAAAATACATCGCGGATCACCGCGAGAAAATGGAGTCCGAGAACTCAGCAAAGGACTCTCGGCAAGACCTCGACTTCCCCCGGAAGAACAGTAAAAAGCCAGAGGGAAAATTCTCTTCGATCAATGTTATCTCGGGAGGAATATGCTCTCGGAGGGAGCACAAGCGACACCTTAGGGCTTTGACTCACCAGGTGAACAACGCTGACATCCAGTCTCCCCAGTCGCCGGTGCCAAACATGACGTTCACAGCCGCCGACTGCCGGGGGGTAACATTCCCTCACGAGGATACGTTGGTGATCATCGCCACGGTGGCCAACCACGACGTCAGTAAGGTCCTTGTTGACGGTGGCAGCGGAGCAAACATTCTGTTCCGAAAGGCCTACAATCAAATCAAGCTGAAGCCCAAGCACCTTACGCCGGTACCCTACCCGGTATCCGGGTTCAACGGGGCTTCAACTTATCCAGATGGGAAGGTGACACTTCCTGTCACCATCGGCTGCGATGAGGCAGCCAGGAACGTCATGATTGAATTTTTGGTCATTGACGCTCCTTCA